CTAATCATGGTCAATTGAAATGGGGAGCAAAGGATAAGATAGGAGAGCCTTCTCGGTGGCTGCTCCGACCCTCTGGAACGACCTCCCCGTGGAGATTCGTACCCTCACCACCCTCCAGACCTTCCGCGTAGCCCTTAAATCCTGGCTGTCCCGACAGGCCTGGGGCTAAAGATTCTAGCCCCACTCGAATAGTATGACTGTTGTGCTTTTAATGATGTATTGTCTTATGTTTGTAACTTGTTTGTCCTTCCCCTCCCCCCTGAATTGTGAGCCGCCCTGAGTCCCCTCAGGGAAAAGGGCGGCATACAAATAAAGTAATTACAATTACAATTACAATTACAATCCCACTACAGAATATACTGCAATTCTGTACAGCAATCCTAGTTTATTCGACATTCCCTACAGCTATAATTGGATGATGCCAGTTTGACAGAGAAACATTTCTCTAATATCCAGGATGATTCAAATCTGTCTCATTTTTCACCTGGGAATGAGATAAAAAGGAACATGGCAAAAAAAAAGTTATTGCATTTGTTGCACTGTCAGATGCCAAAAAGATAAAGCTCAATATGTCTGTAGAGTTGGGATTTATGGAGATGCTAATTTCAAACAGATAACCATTGGTTTATTTATTTTTTTCTCCCCAACAACATGTTCTCTTCTGGTTCGGCAAATACAGCAAACCATTCCAAAATTTTACTAACAATGGCTTCTTTCTTTTAATGTTTGCAAATGTCAGTATATACAAAGTAGAGATGTCTTGAAAGAACAAATGATCATTGCAGCATATTTTTTCATGTAACATTCATTTTGAGAAACCAGTCTATAAATGAATATAGCTTTATTTCAGCAATATATACAAACTAACTTTTACATTATGTACACAAATATATTTTACAAATAATAAATAGAAACAATTAAAGTCAAGATATATCTTCTCATATATAAAACTCCTTTTGGTGATCAAGGGCTGTTGGCATTGTTTTTTTACTTTGCATTAAAAATCTTCAACTTGTTAAGAAATAGTCTTTTAAATCTCATTCCTGAGAAATTGGCTTCATCCAGAAGAAATGATGTACATCTTTAAAGGTATCCTTCAGCGTTTGCTTGTTTTTCCTGCCTGAATGAAAGACCGATGTGCAGGGTAACTATCACAATAAAAAAAAATCTTAAAAGAATTGTTTTTAATTTTTGCCACACATTTGTTAATTTTTTTCCTGTAGTAAGAGCTAATGTATTGAACAATCAGATGCTAAAGTGGAAGTATCTAAGCTCAGGCACATCTATGTTTTTATGTATCTTCACAGAAGTAAAAATTATCTTTTTTTTTTTTTAGTGTACAACTTACTAAACCACTGTGAATATAATTGGTTCTAACTTTGAAAGTCTGCAATTTTGATTAAAAAAAATAAAAGTGATGAATTATTTTGACCATGCCAATAAATATCTGCATCAAATACCTCTTTCTGTGTGTCCTTACTTCCTGATTCAACAAAATATATATATTTATGTATTCTCCCAAAGTGAAAGTCTAATACTACATCTTCATATGCTAACATTACCTCAAGAAAAAAAAATATTATTTTCCATGTTAGAAACGGTCAAAAAAGGGGGATTATTATTTGTTTGGGATATGGATTTGTGAAAATCATAGGTTTTTGTTGCCATTACTGTCCACAATCAATACAGAAATTTTGTGTCTGGTAACAATATTGTTATAAGCAGCAATAGTCCTACAATGTTTATGATACTGATGCTTCTTTTTTAGGGATAGTCATTTGATAAAGATAAGTATGTTTACTATAAATGCATTGGATTCCTTTTTAAAGGAAAAGCATGAGACACAACTTTAGGTATTTTCTCCTGTGGTGCATTTATTGTCATATAAGGAGAATATGGATGGCTAAGTGTTTCCTAAATTTAATTATTTACCTACTGTGAAACAGCTTTCTCTGAGATTTTTCTGACCTACAAAACATCATTATTCATATATATTGTGGCTTGTAAGCATTTATTGAATAGAAAGTCTAAATATTGTTCTTAATTGCTTATAAAAGTAATTTATAGCCAGCCAAAGCTCCAAAACTGCACATATCAGCTAAATGGACATTGCACAGCAAAACACCCAACTTTTTTATTAAGCAGAACTTAATAAAAAAACAACCAAACACCTTAACCCAAATGCAAGTAAAAATAAGCAATTCTTCAATAAATAGGTTTTTTTTTAACACAAGTGCATTCTAAAACAAGAGAGTTGGTATAAGAATTATTGACCTTTGTTCTGAATAATACAAAAATCACCATCTGTGAGAGATTTCTTCTTAATTATAAAAATAAAGTTGGCTTATGTAGTTTTTGGTATATGCTGATCCAGATAAGGAGATCTACCCAGTAGAAGTGGGTTTTACATGCATGGTGCTCATTGAGTAAGGAATCAAGTTTGCATTCAGATGTTGATCTGGATGAAGATACTGTCCATCTGCACTTCTGTGTTTCCAGTCGGATGTGAATTTGAATGTATATTGCTAGTCACATTCATACAAAACCAAATCAAGATTTCAGTCTGGGTAAATAATTCCTAGGGCAGTGTCAGCTGACAGTTTTATAGAAGGCAGATAATTATGTCAGTACAATCATTCCTGTTTGGTCAGTACTCTGTGGAATTTCCTTCCCAAAGTAGAATGTCTTCACTCATTCATTATCTTGGCCTGGTCTCTAAAAAGAAAAATATTTTTTAAAATCTCAGCGGTTAACATTATTTTCTAAATTAACTGTGTTGGTGACTTCAGACATCTATTTCAGTAATCTGATGAGGTAGCAACAGGTAATGTCTTTAATTTGAGCTATTGGCCCAGATGTCGGGAAGTGTAATTCTATCAGTATTCAACTTCCTAACTAAACTACGTTTCCCAGTTTTCTTCTGAAAAAAAAACAACTCTGAACTTCTGTGTATAGGATGCAATTTAATGGATCATCCATATGTTCCATTCCAAGGAACATAAACCACCTTTTCTTGAGCAAGATGTGAGATTAAAGATTTCTAATGCATTTTACATCTACAAACCCTGAGAGAGTTCAACAAGTAAGCAAAGCAAAGCATATAGGAACAGTGAAATCAATTCCTAACTGCTCTGAGATATGAAGTGTAATGAATACTAATACAGAGAGGCTTTCTACCAAGATTTTATAGATCCTTTCCACAAATCTAATGGCTATATAGGCACAATATACAAAAACAGAAGATTAGTAGAACAGAATTTTATACTCCAAAATAAAGCACTTGTGGGGATAAATATTAATAACACGACTGATTGATGATGATGATATGATGATGATAATGATGATGATGATGATGATAATAACAACAACAACAACAACAAC